CGTACGATCACATTAGTGGGTAAATTAAACCTGTGTTTGCACTGTGTATATGTGGTCTTTTCAACATTATGTTGACTGTCTTGAGTGAGTCATTGAACCATTTGTTAAGTCGATTCTATCTAATGCGCTGATTCAAACCAGTGAAAGCTATAAGTGAGTCATTGAATCATTCATTCAAATGATTTGTTCAAACACATTGATTCATTCAGGAATGGAACAAGTCTTTATGAAGGAGTTGTAACTTTCATTTAACTTGCTCTTTCAAATGAATACATGTTTGTATTTACTTTCAAAAATATAAAAAAAACCTTTCAAAAAATACTTTGACACATCAGTAATATTTCTGTCGTCTTTCCCTGTGTTTCTCTTTGAGTAGGTCTGGCATACTCCCTAAAAAGGGTGTAAGCTCAATATATATTTTTAACTACAATACTGTAGTTCATATGAGGGTGTCTGTACTTGACCAGGCAGACTTCTTGTGACCCCAGCTTGAAGTTTGACCGCTGTTAAATATGCCTGAGCATGTGCTGGCTTGGCGTCCACAGCACCAGCCTGGCTTGTTTTGTAATCCAAGAAGACAGGCACATTTGCTTTCGCAATGCCTGTTTACCGGCTACTGCTCAAGTGTCTGGACCCATCCCCTCAAAACCAACTCAACGGACTGTACATGAACGACATCTTCCACTGCTCCTCATAGCTTAAGCTTAAATGTAAACAGGCACTGTGACCTTGTCAAACCCTCTCTAGGACTGAGCATATGTAGGTGTGGATGTTGATGTGTATGGAATAGGTTACACGATTAAGTGACGCCCTAACCTTAACTATAAGGCAGGGGGGGACTTGGGTTGTTATTCCCCTAATACCAAAAAACATATTAGTCAACTGCCATGCTTGTCACAAGAACCACAGGGGTCTCTGGAGGCTAAGGGGACTTCCAATAACAACAGCACAGACACCCAAGAGACCAATAGCTTTCATTAATCCCTCTCCAGAATAGGGAAAGGTTAGGTCTATTTATAGCCAAAAGCTGTCTGTTGTCTGTAAAGTGTAGATTTTTATATTAATAATATTTGGTAAAAAAAGAAACGTTTATAAAAATATAAAATAAATCCAATTAATCACCAGGAAGTTATCCTGCCTTGATGTGTTATCTGAATTACTGTAAATATGAGTTTCCTAGTTGGAAATTAGACATGAACAGCCTCTCAGGTCGTATTTACAACTGGGAAACTCTGAGATAATTTTGATGCACAAGTTTCTGAGTTGGACGGGCCATAAAGTTGAAACATGACTGAGGAAAGAAACAGTAAACAGTAGTACTGTAAAGTTGTATTCATTTTTGCCACAAGATCTACATTGCTTGCTTATCAAAACCTGATGGATATTAACTTAATATCTTCTATATCTTTTGGCTTTAATAAGATTTCCCCAAGAAACGGGCAATAATGAATTCATGAATGGGCCGTCCACCAGGATCCCTGTTCTTTCAGAGCACTTGAACGCGACAAACTCGTAATTACAACTTCATACGTGGGAAGTTTCCAAAATCACGTGAAGGCAGCAATAGACTATCCTGACTTGCCTGAGACCACCACTTCCTATCCATAAGAGAATGTACTTCCTGAGATTCTAGACATGATCCATACTTTTGCATTTGCAGGAGGGAGATGGCATGTCTTTCTTCTGGGAGCAGGAACCTCAAAATGTCCACCAGGAGCAGCTGGAAAATGCAAGAACCCAACCTCTCGGCTTGCTTAATGAGGAAGAAGAGGAGGAGGATGAGTTTATGGTGGATAGCTGGAGAAATACAAATCCATTTCACAACCAAATGTTTGGAGAGGATCTACAGGTATGACAGTGAACATACTCACAATAAGGCACCAAATATTGAAAATGTATTTATACAATTAGCTGCTATATCTACATTTCTATTTCTTAAATTGCTTCACATTATATTCTATAAAACAAGATCTTTTTAATTTTCATTTGAGTATTTTTCATTTCCATTAATTAAATTATTTTTGACTTGCTGAGAAGTACATTGAGCTAAAGTACTGAAATCCTGTGAATAGGACACAAAATACACTCAAAATTGTGTAAAAGTAGATTTTGGAACTGAATTCCTTGCTATTGACCTTGTTACTGCTGACCTTGATGAAGACGTTCCACATTCCAAAGCAGTGCAGCACTGCCGTCATAGTTTGACCTTGACAGATAATAGAGTGATATGAGTTTTACTAAACTATTTCCTCATGCTCACTTGCTCCTCTTTCAGTTGTCAAGTGCAAGGGACTACACTTCTCTTTCCATTGAAGAGTGTTTGCATCTCATCAATGCCAACTTCCCCTCAGAAGGAGATCCAGAGGTAAACACTTGATCTAGAATGCAACATTTCATCTTTTTACAACAATGTGTGCAGCAAGAATTGTTTTAGAGGTGGAGAGAGACAAAAAGGAAATGTAGGCTTTCCAAACTACATTATAAATCTGAATTTTCTCAGTTGGCAGGTCCTGATGTACAGAATGTAGGAGAACATGCACTTTCAGAGTTTCAGAGGCCACTCATGTCACCCTTGTTGCCTGAACAGGAACCCACAACATTAGAGCAGCAATGGCAAGATGTTTTGGCCATCATGGAATCACAGGTATGAAATGACCAACACCTTCCTGTCAAGTCCCGAATTACAAGTTAATCAGTGCTTTGAAAAGTTAATGAACATATTTGACGTGCTCTATCATTTTGAGTCATAGACGTTTGTGGAGAAACATGAAGATTATAAGGGGGAAAAAAAGAATTTTAACTGTGTAAGGTTTTTTTTTTTTTTTT